TTTACATTTTAGATCTAATATATTTTGTATTAGAGAATTTTTTTTTTTGTTTACCTATGAGAATTGCCATTGTCTTGTACACACAATGAAGTCTCTTGGTGTATTTACACATATACTTCCACCACAATATTTGAGTCTTCCGTCAACAATGAAAGTCTCCTGGTGGATTTAGAACCTTTGTAAAACCGTTTGTATCCGTTAAGACCATATTCAAAATAATTTTATTTAGATTGATAATCCACACCTGTAAATCCAAACAAACCCACCAATAAATGGTGAACCGTTATCCGATAAGATTATTTCACGAATTTAACTGTTTGGAAGAGAATTGTGCTAATCATGTAGTTTAGGTGTTATTATGTCTTAAAGTTTGCCACAACTTCCTTAACACCTTAACACACACACATTAAACTATGTTACCCGTTAAAAAGAAAAAATTAAAAAATAAGTTAAATATGTATTTATTCTTTAAAAAACTCTTGTGTTTTTTTTTCATTTAATTTTAATATTAAGAAGCCAAGTTGAACTACAAAAGAGAGACCGATGCCAGCATTCAAACAAGTAAATGGCGGAGCCATAATCCTACCACAGAGAAGTCACATTCCTGCCACAGGGGAGCCAGAGCTAAAAGAGAGAAAAGATACAACCGAAAACAAAATGATTCGGAGAAAAAAACAGGCTTTAGTTGAGCTAAATAACAAAGCCTACTGAATAAAGTGATGCCGTAGAACAAATGATCCGAGGGAAGTGATAAGTAGACAAAACTCCAAAGCCTTAATTTTCTTGAAGGCATGAAAGCGGATCTAGCCCCATTCTAATGCTCGTGCCCCAATCAATCTGTGATCAGGGTGAGACAAGGACATTCAGAAACCGATCAATACCTTACCAGAGAGCCTGATTAATCGTCGAAACTATTTTTTTTAAACTGGTTATCGATGGCCCAGAGATGTCATGATATTCTCATATTTTATCTCATTTTGGTACGTTTTTAACCAATTTTTTCAGTGGGTTTTCGAGTCTTTTCTATGTTTTTAAAGTCTTTTCAGGTTAAAACACGTTTGGATGGAGTCTAAGGCAAATGAGCAAGGAATGGAAGCAAATGAGCAGAAAATATCAGAGATTTCGCATTCGTTGAATGACTTTCCACTTATGGATCGAGCTCTAATTTGGAGACAAGATAGAGCATTGAGATAGCTTTCATTTGGCGGTGGTTTGAAGTTAATCGGATAAGTTGAGCAAAAGTTATACTATTTCTGGTGAAGACATATTTTGCTGGAAACTGACATCGGGCGCTCCCATCAGGCATACACCCTGATGGCAGAAACCAGAATCCAACTCCCAGAATTCTCATGTGTCGAAATCTGCAGGAATTGCCATCGGGCGCTCCCATCAGGTATACACCCCGATGGCAGAAACCAGAACTTTTATTTCCATGCAGTTTTCAGATCCGACCCAACTTCGCCTGGATCGACCCAACTTCACCAGGATCAACCTAGATCCGATTTTTAGACTAATAAAACCCTATTTTCGTTTTTGTTAGAGACATACTTTATTTTTCATCAGACTTTTTGTTTCTAAGCTTTGGGGAGAAGAATCTTTATCTCTACACCTTTT